AGGCGACCTCAACCAGAAGCCCAGTGATGCTGCTTTCTAGTGCTCACCAACCTCGCTGTGCCTCAGTTTCCTCCTATGTAAATGGGGATACCTACCTCTGTGGGTGGAAGAGATGAGTAAATGGTTAATAACATAAAGCATCTGGAACAGTGCCTAGGATAGAGTGAGCATTATGTTTATATAAATGTTGTCTCCTTTACTGAGCCAGATTCCATTTGTCTTTTATCCTGGGTCAATGTTTTTGAGGCTCATCCAGTTGTAGCACATGTCACTACTTCATTTCTTTTCATGGTTGAATAATATTCCGTTGCGTGGATGTGCCACATTCTGTTTATCCACCCATCCGCTGCCGGGCAAGTGAGCTGTCTCCACCTGTGGGCTGTAATGAAGGCAGGTACTTGACCTTTACTTGGTTTCTACTCTTCAACTCTCTGCTTGGTCCAGAGTCTAACGTAACAGTGGCTGCTGGAAGGCTGAGACAAGGCCAACCTGGCAGTGCCCTCAGTTGTTCCTGCCTGGAGCAGCACACCTGTTACTTCCCAGTCTTCTCAGCAGGCCCACATCAAGCCGACTCCCCACACCTGTCCTCATGCCAACACCTTAGCTGGCTCAACCCCTCATCATACCATGGGGTTTGGATTTTTCCTGTGGTTTTATTGGTTTTGATTGCACATTTACAATAATCCCACCACTGAGTCAAAGGATTTACTTGGATCAGCCCATCGAATCCTAACAACCCTTCGAGGCAGGGTCATCATTACCCTGTTTCCCGGAGGAAGAAGCCAGGAGAGGTCAAGCAGGACTCAGGCCTCAGGCTCCCAACTTTAGTGCCTTTCTTCCCTCTGGTCCCACCCCCCCACACCTCACCAATGCCGCTCTCAGGGCACATCGGCTCATTTTCCTGTATTCACCCAACCTACTCCCCATCTTGGTAAACAAAAGCCTAAAATGCGACTGATCCATGTTTATCCAGGTTGCAGGTCTACAGAAACCCAATTTCCTTCGACCAAAAAATGGAGGTGCTGAGAGGCCGCCAGATGCAACATCTCTATGGTCAACCTCACCCCACCACACACACCGGGCAGCGCCTGGGCGCGGAGCTCCTCGGATGCTTCAGCTGCCAGGCTTCCCAGAGCTCTCTCTAGACCACCCTGAAGGGTGTCCTTGAGAGCCACCCCACCCCAGGCTGGGGCTGCTGGGGCAGTTAGCAGAGGGTACCAGGAGGGCCCCAAACAGGGTAAGCAGCAGGAAGACAGGCCCGGGAGCTGGGGGGAGCCCAGGAGTTGGCCGGCTCCTTTCTCTGTACCCCAACTGTGCGTCCAGCTTCTCCTCAAAAGACAGCTGTGCCCCTTCAAAGTGGGCAGGCCAGCAGACGTGCCCTTCTTCCTGAGGATATCTGCGTTCCATTTCCAGCAGAAGGACAGACATCCTGTTGTGTACTTTTCACTCACTTAACGTGATGCTCTTTCATAACTAGTTATCGCTGATATGTAAGAAAAGTTACCCACCTTTGTTAATTTTGCAACGGCCTCCCTTGCAGACTTCTCTTGTTAGTTCTAACCATCTTCAGTTGATTCTCTGCCGGTAGGTTTTTTGTTACTGTTTTTCTTTTTACAATGCCCACTCAATTTCTGGTATTAGCTGATTCATCTGCTCTGTCTCACTCTGGCTGCCTGTGGCCCACGGAAGGCCCATGGGCAGTGGCGGGTGGAGTCATCTCACGTGGGCTCTGAGAGCCGACCATGCACATCTCTCCCTGACTTTCCGTTCAGCAGCACTGCACTGGGGAGCCTAAAACCAGCCCCGGAGGGAGTATTTACACCAAGGAAAGCAGCAGATGCTACAAATCAGTCCCCTCCTCCAACCCAGCCAGCTGTTAACTATTTTCCAGCACCTCAGCCCATGGGCCTCTGCAAGGGCTTGTGGGGAAGATGGATCATCAGATCCATCTTGTGGAAGAGGCGAGAGAAGGTACTTCCGAGGAGGAGTGAAACCCCAGCAGGAGGAGATGGTCCTTCCTACCACAGAGAGCCAGGGCAGGGAGGGCCCCTGGGTGCACTTGGTCTCGCTCCTTCATTCTTCAGGGAGGAAGAAAGAGAGAAGCTGTCCCATGGTCCAAGTCCTTACAGCCAGGGAAGGATCAACCCCCAGACCTCCTGGCTCCAAATCAGTGCTCCTCCCACTGAACCAGGTGTCGGCCCCCCCAAACCAGACAATCCGCAAATCAACAATGTCTGTCAAGTTGATGGAGGGCAAGGAGGCAGGTGTTCCTCTTTTAGCCCTGAGTGTGGCGGTTTCAACAACCAGTGAGTGGGTGTGTGTTGGGAAGCCTTGGGCACAATGCCCTTTTTGGGTGGGTGGTCCCTCTCCCCTTCCTGCCTGCTTCCCTCTCGGCCTCCCCTGCCCCAGACCTCCCACGGCACCGTGTTCCTCGCCTTCCTGCCCCACGATGGCTTACCAGCTAGCGCAGTGTGCAGGTAAAGAACATTCCCTGCGTGAGCTGGCCCTTCAATGGGATGAGTTCAGGGTAAGGTTATGTCCATCAGCTTTCAGAACAAATTCTCAGCTTATTAATTCTCCTCTGTTACGCAGGCAAAAGTAAATAAGCTGTTCTCAGGCAGCCTTGCACAGAGGCCTTCCCTATCCAAACACTGCAAGAGTGGACAGGTTTGGAAGCATTGAGCTCCCAGGCCCCACTTCCCAGAGGGCCGTCCTGGCCTCCTGCCCGCAGTGTCTCCAGTGCCGAGACAAGGCAAGCCTGGGCTCTCTGTGCCGGGAGGCCCCACAGCCCAGCACATGGGTCCCGGGTATGGCTCGTGTTCTCCCAAGGGAGCATCAGAGACTCCAGTCACCTGGAGACCCCCAGAGCAAGTCGGCAAGGGTCTGGCCAGAGCTACAAGCATCACTACAAGCTCCCAACCTGCTGGCTCAGCCCCTCCTGGAGGAAAGTTCCTTATAAGGGTGTTTATTTACTGACTGCTTCAGTTTCAATCATATGTTTTAAGGTTCAGAATAAAGAAAGGAAATAAATAGTAACAAAATCAAAAAGAGTCAGAAAAGTTAATTAACTAAGCAAGCCCTGCTAAGGAAGACATTTCAAAAGAGGATGTTACAAGTGTTTATAAGTAGTTGCTCAGGAATCTTTTGTCTGTAAGAGCCAAGAACCCCATATGCTTTATACCGGCTCCTTGTAGCCTGTGCAGAAATCTCATGAGCCTCCTCCCCCCACCCCCTTTTTTTCCTATGTGTCCGTTTCTGATTTGGAAGGGAAAAAGCCAAAAACCGCTGCAAGAAACCCAAAGTCAAGCTGCAAAGACCAGAAAAGTGGGAGGAGAAAGAGAGAGAGACAGAGACAGAGGGAGAGATCATTAAGATCCGTCCTGCCCTTGGATGAGCTGCCTATGCAGCCCCTGCTGGGAAGCCGCGTCCCCCCCACAACGTGCACAGCCTGGAGATCTTGTCCAGGTGAGTGTCACTCAGGCAGGTCGTTGTCAGTTAGGTGGCGGCGGATATCACATCAAGGAGAGCAAGAATCAAGATTTCATTTCAGTGTTTTCTGGCTTCAAAACTGCTCTCCCCTAGACCTGGACTAATTTGGGATCTCCTTTGAGTTGTGCTGTGACAGACAGCACTTCCTCGTCCCCGCCGTGGCTCTGTCATCCAGTCACCAGGTGTCCTGAGATGCTGCTTCCCCCGAACCCTTCTCATTGCCATCCCTCCTGCGAATAGCTCAAACAAAGGTGCCCAAAGACTCTGCAGACAACCCGAGACCCCACCATCTCTGGCCTTCCCCAGCGTGGCTGGCCCCCAGCACTCCCCGAGACACATTAGTGTCCTCTCCTATTTGAGGACTGTTTGTGGACCGTGCACATGGAAGTTCTGAACCTGTTTTCTCTCAAGTTCCCAGTGCACTGCCAATAATCTCCAAAATCCAGTCTTTATCCTAAAATGTTCAGGTGACCACATGGGTTTGCAAGCTCCCCAACACCCCCCTACAGTCCTATCTGGAGAGAGAAAGGGTCCCCAGAGCTGGCAGGAGTGTCCATGGTGGGACCCCCACTGTCACTTTCTGCCCCCCACTTCCACTCCTACCCCAAGTACCAGTACACTGAAGCCTCGTGTGACCCCAGACCAGGGCACCCCACCCAGCAGGGCTCCATGCTTGCCCCCTGTGTGCCCAAAGCTGGGGCTGCACAACCATTCTTACACCAAGGACTAGTGAAGCCTGGGGACCCCTCCTCAGAATAACATTTCTCGGTGCTAAAGTATAATCAGAGCATGACACAGGAAACTAACAATACTGAAGTAGAGCTAGCCAACTGTCTTTAAAAACCCAGATGGATGGTATAGTTACATTATATATGTGCTTCTTTATTAATGATTATAAATCAGGATCTAGCTGCGGGTCTGGTAACTTCTGTAATTTTGAAGCAATACTGAGCATAAACAGCAATTCATGCACCAACTGTAACGTGATGTCAAAACAGTTGTGATTTCCACTGGTGACCAAGTTGCAGGCACGGCCGCCTGCTGTGGTCTGTGGTCTCCCTTTATCATGGAGGAAATGCTCGATTTTCAGTTAGAGGTGAATGAAAGGGAAGATGTGATTCTCTTCCCGCCCCAGCTCACAGGCTCCCCAGATTCTGTTCATGGACCCCTATGCCCAAGAGCTCCTTTTCCATCCCCCCTCTGCAGCCCCTGGAGGAAGTTCCACGCTCTCGGTTCGGGTGGCGCTGGGCAGGCGCACGGCTTCTCAACTTTGGTGCGCAAGTCAGAGGAGCTCAATATTTAGGGTTCTGGGCTTGGGAGAGGCACCGAAGTCACAAAAAAGTGCCCGTGGTTCCACCCTCTTCAGTGCAGCCCAGGGGGTGCCACTCCCCTGCAGCAGAGCCCAGATGGTGGTACAGAGGAGTCGGGGCCTCCTAACACCCCTCCCCGGGACCCTCCCGCCCACCAGGGCAACAGCAAGAAAGGAGGAGGGAGGGGGTGGGGGCACTTACCTTCAGGCTCCTCCACGCTGCTGGCCGCGGTTGTTGGCGGTGCTACAGGGATCTCTTTTCGGGGTTCAGGACAGGGTGGAAGAGAAAACAGGTAAGAAGATGTTATTTTTGACCTTAGAATGAGAATGAGCCCAGCACAGTCTCCTCCCAACTTTCCATGACCTTCCCTTCCCTTTCCCAGCCACAGCCCAAGAAGGGAAGAGTCAGCAGTGGCATCCTGTCATTCTCTTTTGGAAGCTGTCCCTTCACCTGGCAGGATGTTGACGGCTCCTGGCTGTGGAGGGGACAGGGAATGCTGACCCTCCCAGACCTGGTGTGTGCACCGCACTTGGGCTGTCTGTTGGCCTGTCATCAGTGCGGCTCAGCCCCAGGGTGCCGGAGTGGGGCTTCCCCAGGCCCCTCTGCTCATCATGGGGCAGCTACCTGGCCCCTGCTCACTCTGAGCTCAAGCCCCGGGGGAGAAGGGTCTCCTGGAGAGATGGCATGTGAGGGGGCCAGGAACCTGCCCCAAGGGAGGTCCCTCATGTGTGCAGAGAAGTGTCTGCACCAGGGCTCAGGTTCCATGGGCTCTCATCTCACAAGCCAGAGTACAGAAGAGCCAAGGGCCTGATAAAAGCATGTGCTTCATTTTGATTATTCTCTTTCTACCTGGAAGAGCAATCACTTCCTACGACTTCCTGCGCCCAACCCTGAGCTCAAAAAAGTGCAGAGGCTCAGCCAGTCCCCACTGGGCATCGAAGCTCAGGCTTCCTCTTTCTGGACAAGGCCAAACCATACTCCAAAAGTCCCTAAGGGCAAGGGACTCACTTCCTCCACTGAGTGACCACAAACCCCACTGACTCTAAGCCACCATCTGACCCTTTGGGGTAAGACCTTGGACCCCCAGATTCTACACCAGCTAGGATGTGAGGCTTGGTATGTCGGGATGGAATACTCAGGCCGAGGGAGCGGGGGCAAATCTGAGAGTCACCCAGAGGAGGCAGCTTTGGCACCTTTAGGAAGAACAGGTGGAGACACAGCCCTGAAAATCTGGAGTCAAATCTTGCTCTTGGGTGATTTTCTTAGCAAGAGCAACCCACAGGTGCCTGTCACAGCAGGTCATTAGGAAGCTGCACCTCGTACCAGGCCCTTTCTTAGACCACATTCGGGAGGCAACATCCGAATGGCTGAATCAAATCCTGCAAGTCCATGAACGGGGCTGGAGGCAGGCCTGGCTCTGAGATGCACACGGAGGGCCCATGGCTTCCTGAGCCGTGACACAATAGGACACCAGTCTTCCAGGCACTGCCTGTGCACCTGCAGCCCGTGCCCTCAGGAAGAGCTCATGGGAATCCTCCCAACTTTCCGCGGCCCTCCCTTCCCTTTCCCAGGTCTGCAGACTGTTGGGGGAAAATGCTCGCTCGTGCCAGGCACCGGCCTGCCCTTTGCAAGAGGAAGGGAGAAGGCACAGAGCATGTTGGAAGGTGAGAGTTCCCATTTCCCGAGGTTTTGGCCTCTGATTCTGAAGCATCAGCTCCATTTTCAGGTTGGGTCCTTCCACTAGGGAATGTGAAATGTTGATTCCGGTCATTTCAGAGCAACCTGACAGACCCTAACTCCCTTCAAAAGGGAGACCTCAGTTTTCCTCCATATTTTCATAACCCCAGATTTGCTTCTCACCTTCTAAAAATGTGCATCTTGCAGCTTTTGGACAGACAGAAGAGAAAGACTTTGACAAGTATGAGACCAGCAACTGGAGGCTGCCGTGCAAACCATCCACCTGCTCTGCCCTAGGTGGCTACTCAGCTCTCTCCTGAGGCTCCGACCTGGGTCATTTGCTACCTGGGTCATTTGCTATTAGCAATGGCCTGCAGACAGCCATGTGGAAACATCTCCTCATTCAGAAACTGATCAGAAGAGCTGCTGCAACGGATAGAGCAACACGCTCCTGAAGTGAAGGCCATACCCACCTGGACAGTGTGGCGTGTCCAAGGCTCCCACCTGCTGGGGGAGTGGGTTTCTGCAAGGGCTGGGGGGAACACTCCGAGGACCCTGCAGTGGCTGCTTATGTGAAGGGGGCACAGCCTCTGTGCTTGTGGCCCTGTGGCACTGGCCATATGACTGTCAGGACCGACTGTAGACACCAGTGCCCACCCAGAGCTAAGGGATGCTGAAAACCCCTAACACAGAGGTCAGCTGACTTCTGCAAAGGGCCAGGCAGTACATAGTTTAGGCTCTGAGGGCCGGACAGCCTCCGTTAAACTACAGTTCGGTTGCTAGAGTCTCAAAGCAGCCACAGACAGCATATAAACAAGTAGGCGTGGCTGTATTCCAAGAAAACTTTATTTATGGACACTGAGCTTTGAATCTCATATAATGCTGTCATGAAATATTTTTCTTCTTTTGATTTTTGTTTCGACCATTAAAAAAGGTAAAAGGCATGGTGGCTTACAACCATGATCCGAGCACTTTGGGAGGCTAAGGCAGGAGGATTGCTTGTGGTCAGGAGTTTGAGACCAGCCTTGAAACTATAGCAAGACCCCATCTCTACAAAAAAATAGAAAAATTAGCTGGGTGTGGGGGTGTGCCCCCGTAGTCCCAGCTATTGGGGAGGCTGAGGCAGGAGGATTGCTTGAGCCCAGGAATTGGAGGTTGCAGTGAGCTATGTTGATGCCACTGTACTATAGCCTGAATAAAAAAAAAAAGGTGATTATTGTATCACCAAGCCAAAAGAAAACAGGCAGCAGCCAATTCCCTGGGCCAGAGAGCAGAGTTTGCTACCCACTGCTCCCTAGAGAATCAGACTTTGCCCCTGGGCTCTGCCTTGTTGGTTAGCATTCACTCCTGCCCTCCCTTCTTGGTCTAGGTCAGCCCTGCACAAGGAATCAACAGGGCTGAGGCAAGGGGTTGGGGAGTGTTGTGGGGGGCAGCTCCCAACCAGGCTTGACTTCCAAGCAGGGCTAATCTTCTGCTTATGACACCAGTGTGACTCTACCAGATATAACATATTGAAACCCCTCTGGGTCGAGCCTCCTGAGTGACCTCTGCCATCTTGCTCACCCCTCCTCATGTTCCAGCAACTCAGGGGCTTCACAGGGGCTGTAGGTGCCATGCACGGGAGCCCTGCCCAGCTCCCTGAACACACCATGGGCAGCTGCAGCAGTGGCCCCTGCTATGGGCCCACCCCAGGTCCAGGGTCAAGGTGGAATGTGAGAACGGGACCTGAAGCAGGAGACTCAGTGTTTGTCAGGACAGAGAGCCACAGACAGGCTGGCTCTCCTGAGCCCCCAGCTTCCTCTGTAAGAACCCTACAGACCTGGGGGTCTCCGTGGGGACTTACTGATCACCGGGCATTGACGCAGAGATGCACGTCCCTGAGCGCTGAACCCACTGGACGTCAGTGACCAGCAGCCCCAAAGGGCTCACCCCCCACCCAGGCCAGAGACATGAGAAACAGGGTGCCTTGCACGTACTTATGCAGGGGGCGATGGGAGAGCGGCTCTGCTGGTAGCCTTTGGCGCAGCGGTTGCAGGTGATGCCCGTCACGCCGTCCTTGCAGGGACACTGGCCGGTGGTCTGGTTGCAGGTTTTGCCAGCAGCGCCCACGGGGTGGCAATCACAGGCTGTGGAGAACACACAGCAGGAGGGTCAGGGGGTGGAAGGGGCCAGTGCACACCCTCCCTGCAGGACCCCCCCCTACCCCAGGGGAAGAGCAGAGATGGGGGGGCTGGCCCAGCCAAGCCCACACACATTCCAGAGCTCTGATACTGGCCACCCGCCCACCTGGAAATGGGGAATAAAAACCAAAATGGACTGACTTGAAAGGCCTGTTTTGGCAGCAGGGAAGTGAAGTTGGGGAGGCCCCGGGAGGAGGCCTGCATTCAAACGTTTTCAGGAATACAAAGCCCGCAGCCCTGCGTGAGTCAGGACCTGGAGGCCACCTTCCCTTGACAAGGTAAGTCTGCGAATTTTCACTCTCTGTCCCCAGCCAGCTCTCAAACCCCTGGCTGGCGCTGCAGGTAGGAGGAAGGGGGTCCGGGGCCTGATGAAGCCCTGCAGTGTACCAGGTCGGAGGGGCACAACTGTAGGGGGGGCTAGTCCCTCGGCTGCTGCCCGCACACCCTGCTTTGCAGCCAGGCTCAGGCTTCTAGATCACAAAACCCATAAAATGTAGCACTAGAAAGGGTCACAGTGATAATTTAGTTTAAAGCCTTGATTAAATGTGCAAACAAAGACTGTAGAGGTGAAGGGAACTCCCAGGGAGGGACCAGCCATGCTGATGGGGTGGGAGGTGAGGCCCCGACACTCAGGCCAGTGGCTTCTGTACCACAGAGCAGGCCCCACCCACTCCTCCCAGCTCCAGAGGAGTGGCACCTTGTCGCGCTGCACCCAAGGCTCCCTCACTGTGTTCTACGCACCCAATCCCGGTATTGGAGCAGCCAGAGGACCTTGCGGGGATGTCCTGATGCTCCGGGCAGAACAGCTACAGCAGCAAGTGCAGAACACCAGCCCTTCCTGCTAAATCCCACCTCCCCGACCTAGACGGTGGGTTCGGAGTGTGAGTGGGGAAGGGAGGACAGAAGGAGGGAGGCAAATGTCCTGCCTACCCCCTCCCCAAGGACCCTGGAAAAGGGAGGGAGCTGTCTGCAGGAAGGCACTGTGCAGCACCTTCAGTCAGTGCCTGGTGGCTGCTGTGTGTTCTTGCTCCAGATGGCACACAAAAAAATCCAAGAACACAGTGAGAGCAGAGATCCCGAAAGAGCCCCACGAGAACCTCCCGAGCAAGCACTGAGGGCGCGAGTCTGTGAGTAAAACACGGCCTCTCCCAGCCAGTCTCGGGCCAGCAGGGGCCGGTGAGGAGAATCAGGATGGGGAGGAGGGAGGGAACAAGGCAGGAAAGCAGAGAAGAGAAGAATGTGAGGAATTGTTTGTTGAAGTTGTGTCTGGACATGCGAAAGCTTCTGGAAATGCTGGGAGTGAGGGTCCCGCTGTGGGTGCCCCTGACAGGTTCGAGGAGGGCGGGGCAGGGCCCTGGCTGGGAGGTAGCTGGCCAGTTCCTCCCATCTCGGGTCCACGTGAGGCAGAGGGAACTGCTCCAGTCCTGCCCCTTCGAGGGAGGAGTCCTGATTTCTGTCAGGAAATTACCGTCTTCAGTCTACCCTGGATTCAAATTCATTCCCTGTTGTTTGTTTTTTCACTTGGTAGCAAGGGAAGACCCAGCCCTGATGCCCACGGGGGAACACCGAGGAGGATGTTAAGAAGGGCATGGCTGGAGAGGGCCTTTGACCTTTCCCTACGGCCTCTTAAATCTGTCCCTGGGGTGGGAAGGGAGACATCTCTAAGTTGGCCATGTGAACACAGAGGGCCACAGCACAGGGGCCCGCTGTCCCAAGTGCCTGACGTGGGACTCCAGGGACTCATGCCAGCTGACCTCCCTTGGCCCCCTTGGCAAGCCTGCTGGTAATCCTAAAATTCATGCCAAGACGTTCTCTCCTCAGTGCTGATGGGACACAGCTGGGCACCAGCTCCTTGGACTTGGCTGGGGGAGGTCACCAAAGGTTGCTAAGTCACTGAAGGTGCACAGCCAAGTCCCACACGGACGTCACTGCTGGCCCAGGTTGTCTTCATCTTGGCAAGAGCTTGCCCAGAGCAGACTCTGGAGGCAGGAGGACCATGCGTTGTTCTCCCCCGAGGCCCCTCACAGCTGGTGACCTGCTCAGCTGCCTGGGCTGGCTGGTGCACTGCCGGGAAGAGCCAGGCGCCAGCTGAGGTCTGCTGGAGCCAAAGGCCATGCTCAGTAATGGCGGGGCAGCTCTGGGTCTGCCATGTGCAGCAGGCACTTCCTAAGGGACCATCCTTTGGTGCAACGTGAGCTGATACTTGCTGCTGGGTTTCCAAATCTTTCTCCTAAGATTCTGCAGAGTCTGACCTGTGAGTCTGGTCTAACAGAGGCAGCAGGCAGACTTGTGCTTCCACACCTGCAAATTGTTGTCCTAGGAAGAGAAGCCATCAGGGTTCCAGAGGGGGGGAGCCTCAGAAGGCCACTCAGATCACCTCCAGGGCAGTGTGACCATCCCCAGGCTTCACTCTGCCCACGGCAAAGCATTCTTCCGTAACAGCACCCCCATCAAACTCCTGTAAACCACCTCAGCACATCCATGCTCTCTCCTAAGTGCTGTCTCCTCTGGTCCTCACAGCAGCCCTATGAAGTCAGCATGACGGTGCAGAGGAGACCACAGCAGACCGGCAAGGGAAAGTGCAGGAGAAGGGGGGTTGTGCAGAGCAACGGAAAGGTCTGGACCTCTGAGGGCCCCACTCAGGACCCTTACCTTCTCTGGACAGCGCCACAGTCCTTCTGTCCTACACGGAGAAAAAAGTTCTTATCTGTTTAAACCAACACAAAGTGGCCTTTCTGTTACCTGCAGCCAAATGCAATCCTAACAGACTTACATGGAATTCATCCTCAATTTCCAACCAAATGATTCCAAAGTAAGAACTTCTCCCCAAAACTCATGCATAGGGATGGCTCGAATTATACCCTCTGCAAAGAAGAGTGAGTTTCAAGGTGTAAGGAAAGTTGACAGATGACAACACCCTCATAGTGGGTTTCTCTACAGCTTAGAAGAGAGAATCTGACCAGGATTGTCAAAGGTAGAGAGTCTGAGTCCAAAGGAAACCTCAGGCCCTGGCTCTTAGGAAGACAAAAGTCAGATGCATCCTGTTGTAGCCTGAACCCTGAAATACAGACAGAAACACACAGAAATCCCTACTGACTCACATACACATACAGATTCACACGCATACCCAGAAACGCAAACGGATTTCTACCCTCCCCGCCCCCACACACACAGACTCAGACACAGACATACAGATTTGTGTTGACAAACTCACAAACACACAGACCCACAAAGCACACACACATACACACACGCAGACTCACGCAGGGCTGCAGTGGGCAGGGCAGAGGAGAGTGGAGGAAGCTGGGGAGGAGATAGACGCCAGGTAAGTGGGGGTCTTTTCCTCTGCAGGGGCCTCTGGTGAGGCGGATGAAGAGGGAGCCTCCCTAACCCTTCTGAGAACACGGCGGGGTCAGAACATCTTCTGCCGTAGGAAGCCCGCGTGGTGACTCCCGTTTCCCTGGAAGTCAGCCACCTTTTCCAGAGGGAGGTCAACTGCTTCCGTGGCAGGTCATCCGTCTGCATGGAACAGGCAGCACCTGGTCACGGGAAACAATCTACTCGAGGTTTTTTCCATAAAGGGAAAGGTGAGACCAGATGGAAGGCCGGTTCCCTGAGAACGCAGCAGGCTCAGGTTTCCCACGAACGCGGCAGGCTGGAGAGCCTCCCCACAAAGCAGAGAACCGAGACTGTCCCTGCTCTGGTTCATCAGACAGGGATGGGCAGCTCAGGTGACCCAAGTGGTTTCAGATGGGCAACAGGAGACCTCAGTCTGGACCCCGCCCTGCCAGCAACCCTGGGTTACTGCCTTCCTCTCTCTGGACCACAGGTGGCCCCTGTTAGGCCAGAGGTCTATGCCCCCATTAAAGTCACTTCCAACCCAACAGGCTGAGGCTTAGTCTCCATACTGACTCCAAAGGAACCAGGACAGCGACCCTTGGACCATCACTCCCTCTGCTGCCATTCATCGCAGTGTCCTCGCCGAGAGCAGGGAGAGAAGGGCTCATGTTGCAGGGCACACTGGGCCTCCTGTACACCCCTACTGATGGCCTGCCCTGCACCAGCACCTGCCTGCACTGTGCCAGAATCCTCCTGTTGATGTTTGGTTTGTCAGTGAAGAGAAGGGTGCCCGGGAACTTCAGAGAGCCCTGGCAAAGCTGGCCCGGAAGGCTCTGATTCCTGGCTTCTTGTACCAGGGCAGCCGCCCTGCCCTGCCCCCCCCGATGCCCTCTGTCCTGGATCCCTGAAGCCCACAGCCTCCACTGGGGAGGGGATGCTCTCCAGAGGCTGGGCCCCTTTCCACTGCCGCTCACACCAGGGCTTTCTGGAAACCCATCCTGGGCTCCTATCAAGAGGTCTGGCTACTTTTCCTGAGGACTCTGGCTCTAGGGGCTCTTGGAGTCAAGCAGGACCCTCCAGTGGCCATGCCTATGGACGACAGGGAAGCTGGCTGGGCATAAGCCCCTCTGGGGATCCAGGCAGGACAGATGGGACAGAACAACTGAGGCTCCCCCTCTCACTCCAGACATCACCACGGCTATCACCCAGGCCTCTGGCCAGTCGTGAAGCCTGCTTCCAGCCTGGCCTTGCGGTATGGGCCAAACTGTGCCCACCCGAAACACAATGCATACGTTGAAGCCCTAACCGCCAGCACCTCAGAATGGGATATATTTAGATGCAGGGTCTTTAAAGGAGTGACTGATTTAAAATGAGGTCATTAAGGTGGGCCCTAATCCAACGTGATTAGTGTCCTTATAAGAGAGGATGAGGACACAAACACACAAAGCAGGAAGACCCTGTGAAGACACGAGGAGAAGACGGCCATCTACACGCCAAGGAGAGGGCCCTGGAGCGGTTCCTTCTCTCATGCCCTCAGAAAAAACCAGCCCTGCTGATACCTTGAACTTGGACCTCCAGCCTCCAGAACTGTGAGAAATAAATTTCTG